CCTTCTTTCCTTTAGAATTTATGTTGGTCATTGAAAAGCCAGCCTGAGCAAAAGGATAAAAAATATATAATCCAGTTTTGTTTGACAGAGGACCAGAGACTGTCATACCTTGTAATAAGGCTGACTTGGTTACAAACTGAGTTAGTGTTATTTCAAAAGCATTGAAATAGTGTTGGATTTGGTTATTGTTAAAAGTAGGACCAAAGTGATCATAAATCAGCTTGGACATCAAAAAGTTTTATTTTGCCAGAAGGCTGTTTGCCTGTTCTGTTTTAGCTTAAAGAATTAGGACATTACATTAATCTGAACAGTTTCTATAGAATTTAGGTATATTTGGAAATTTGTAAGTCTTAATGTCAGTAAATTATATATACTGTATTCTATATGTTAATCAAGTCTTGTCAAATGTAGATATGATAGTGTTAGAGAAAATATTTATATGATACTAAGAATAAATTAAGGGACTAACTGAAGTAATGAGAGAATAAGTAAGTGCTTTTCGCAATGGGTAATTTTTAAAATGAATTTTTCATATATCTTTAAGTTGTTAGTTTATATCACTGACCTTTTTTTCTCATTCCAGGAATATTTTTCATATCATTTTGTTAGCTCTTCTTTCATGACATTCTAAATTTTGTTTTTAGAACACACCTGGACGAATGAGACTGGAAAAATGGCTACACTCATCCATGAAAATTGAAATGACAGATGGACGGACTCTCGTGGGCTCCTTCGTATGCACAGACCGCAATAACAACATCATCCTTGGGTCTTGTACGGAACACCTTAGACCCGACGGTTAGTGCATAGCTGGTTGGAGTTATTTTTCTTTCATGTCTTTTCTTGAATGGCATACTTGTTATGTAGACTGGAATGGTAATTTCCCGAATGAGAGAATGTCTTTCTTGAGTTTTACAGACTTTATAGAACTTACAGTTTATGTTGAATAGTTGATATTTGGTTTGTTGTTTCTACTTGTTGTTAAATTCACTAAGATAATGGCTGTTTATTGGGAAATTGTGCACTTTCATAATTAAATTGTAAAACCAGTGTCCATGGACAGCGTGAATGCATGCCACATCCACTGTAATTTTAGTTTATCAATTGCATTTATGCAGAGATGTCTGAACAAGTGCTTAGTACAAGTCCTAAGTATTTCACCTGTTTACCTTTTTCCCCAGTTTATGGCAATATTTTATGAATTAGTTTATTACTTTTATTTTACATAGTATTTTGATAAAATTATCTTAAGCATAATGTAAGTACCAATAATAAAAAAAATTACTGACAATAGTACCATTAGAAAACAATAAGATTTTGCTTCAAGCAGTGAAGAAAGTAGACACTAGGCCTTACTAATTGACACCTTGGGAACTGAGCGCTTGTGGAGCCAGCGGTTTTCAACAAAATTCACTGAAGACTGCAATGCACATGTTTAATGGGATAATACAGGGTGGAGGGCTACAAGCTCTGTCCACTGTGATTTGCGTTTATTGTGGTTTCTGCGGACGTCATCATTATGATAATGATAATAATGATAATTTCATAATAATAGTACACATATATAGCATTTTATTCTCTTTAATACAAATTCATTCAAATCACATTATAATTGTTATTATTATTATTATTATTATTATTATTATTACTATCATTATTATTATTATTGTTACTATTATTTATTATTATTATTGTCACTATTATTTATTATTATTATTGTTACTATTATTTATTATTAGTATTTTCACTCTTCTCTCTTTCAAAAACCTTTCCAGAGGATGGGCGAGAGGAGGAACCCCGCGTGCTAGGCCTTGCTATGATTCCCGGAAGACACATCATCTCCATCTGTATAGACGAGGCTTCTCAGCCCCCCCAGCCACCTAGTAGTATGTACACCTAGCATAACATTCATTGCTGCGGGAGGCTGGCTGGGTAGGGGCTGAAGTACACAAGCGTATTTAGGGTCTGGAAGGAAACCATTGGAGGAAAGATACGGAGGATTTAGCAGCGTGCAGTCTGTCAGAGAAGGCTCAGATGAGGTGCAATTCGATAGCAGTTGTCTGTGGCCTTTGGTAAATGTGATTCTGTGTTTGATGATGAGAGACGCTGAGAAAATGTCCCCCAGGTTTTGGATGTTTTACGAGTATCATGGTTGGAAAATTGCAGTTCACATATTTTGATAATGCCATTACTGATGTGCACCATTGCTTTTCACTGGTATTACAGGAGATCTAGTCACTGTTATAACTTCTCCAAGTTGCACTGACATAGGAAAAGAAGTTCTTATTATTAATTGAAACTTGTGACTGACTCACCCGAAGAAAAATAATCTGATTGATAGTTCCCAAGAAAAGGTTTTCCATGACAGTCATGTAATATTCTTTATAATGTGGTTTTGTTAAACTGATAAGATTAAGCTGAGGTCATTTTGAAGGAATATATTCTTACAGATATACTACCTGTGACTCCTGTTTTGACACTATGATGTAAGATTTTATGATCAATAAATCATTATAAGAAAAAGTTGTTACAAGATTTATTACAAACATGCAAAATCATAGCCTATGTTTAGTTTGCATAAATGTTATGGTGTTTATCAGTATTAATGTTTTGAAGATAAAGACTATTGTTCCTTGGCTATGTTGAATATTTATAGCAATCTGAGCATTTTGTAATACCCATAATATCCCTTTTTTTCTTTCTTTATTTCTTTCTTTCTCTCTTTCTTTCTTTCTTTCCCAACAGTAGAGTAAGTCAACCAGAAAATCTATGAATAAAAAAACAAAAATCCAATTTGAAACATAGCTTCATAGAAGTACTGTTTGAAAACAAAGTGTGCAAAATCATATGTTGCAACATATATTGGCATAGATATAATAGCAATATCCTGATCTTTCCTATTTACACTTTAGTGATGCCATTTTACAGAAATGAACATATGGGGTAATTTTTGTCTGTTCCTTTCAAACTGTTGAGTGAGGTTTAGTCTAGAGTATTATATATATAAATATATATATATATATATATATATATATATATATGTATATATATATATATATATATATATATATATATATATATATATATATATATATATGTATATATATATATATATATATATATATATATATATATATATATATATATATATATATACATATATATATATATATATATATATATATATATATATATATATATATATATATATATATATATATATATATATATACATATATATACATATATATACATATATATACATATATATACATATATATACATATATATACATATATATACATATATATACATATATATATATATATATATATATATATATATATATATATATATATATATATATATATATATATATATATATATATATATATATGTATATAAATATATACATACATACATACCTATATATATATATTTTTTTTTTTTCTTCTTCTTTCTTTTATATGACTACTTTGAAATAAGTTGATATGTGACATAAAGATTGTGAATATAGTTATTGCTGTTTTAATCTGTTACTCACTGAATGACACTGTTTCCTGTGCAATTTTTAAGTTTCTTTTAGTGATTTTTTTTTTTTTTTTTTTTTTTTTTTTTTTTTTTTTTTTTTTAATGCAGTACCCAGAATTTAAATTATTTTATTTTATTTTATTTCTATAATGGGTATTACAAAATGCTCTGTATAAAAATATATATATATGTGTGTGTAAGAAAGTTAATGTTACACTGGGTTCAATTTTTATTTATATAGAAACTACTGAACACCTTTACCAGAGATGAGTATTTAGTTCAAATTTTTAATGCCTTTTATTTCATCAATTGAAATAAAATTGATAAGAGGCGAGGGAGGGGGGAGAGACTGATACAACCGCCCCACCCCCCCTCCTGCCCCAAGTATGAGTTATGAGTTCAGATGATGCAAAGTTTATCCCTTTAACCCTCACACTTAATAATTTAATTCTGCAATTTTTTTTGGTGTTCTTTGCTTTACATTGCCTTCATATTTCTCATATTTCTTGAAGGACAATGTTTACGGTTTATCTCTGGTAGAACTTTTTCATATTACTTGTTCATTGGCCTTTCTATGACAAGGATTGGTCAGTCTGTGAACATGACCTGCTTGCCTGCCTAGTTAACTCTGATGCAGTAGTAGTACAGTACTATCTTATTCCTCCCAGTGTTGCCTAGATTACCTTCTGTAGACATGCCCTCCCCTATGAAGTTTATATTGGGGGAGAGTCCTACCCTGTCTGAAAATACTGACCCCTCTCTCATCAATGTCAGAGGAAGGTTGGTATTTTGGCCACCCTGCCAAGCACTTCATAGCCCGTGGCCTTTTATGTGTCCAACCTGGTCACGGCCATTTAAGATGCTCTGCACAGTCATGCACATGTGCTAATTATGGTGGCTCACATAATATATTTTATGCACTTATTCTTTTAGTATTCTTTGCTTTACATTGCCTTCATAATTTTATTCCACCATCTTACATTTCTTGAAGGATGGTGTCCACTGTTTTGCCCTGGTAGAACTTTTTCAGGTTGTATTGTATAGTGTAATGTATGTACTTTGTGAAAAGTGAAAAACGTAGTCCCAGTCAACGATTCTCAAATTATGCAATGACATATATACATCCATATCTGTATCTGCCATATCTGATCTATCTGTTTGTCAGCCTATCCATCTTTCTCTCTCTCTCTCTCTCTCTCTCTCTCTCTCTCTCTCTCTCTCTCTCTCTCTCTCTCTCTCTCTCTCTCTCTCTCCTCTCTCTCTCTCTCTCTCTCTCTCTCTCTCTCTCTCTCTCTCTCTCTCATTCATAAGTCTGTAGTCACAGAAGCCTTGCTGCCTTATATAGTGATGGTCCCAATTATTTTGCTCTTTCTCATTCCAAGATAAACTTCTGTTTGATGTCTGTCATGAAAACTAAGAGAATTCCCTTTGCTGCTGCATAAATAATCTATTTCTTCAACGTTGACATATGTATGAATACATATATATGAAGTTTGATTTATTATAGAAATGATGTTGATACAGAAGGAAAGGTTTTAGTCCAAGCTAAGATGTTATGATATACTTGCACTTAAATATTCAGCATTATGTAATACAGTGTAATATATTGGATGTATTTTCACAAGCTTTTGCACAGGATACTGGCATTGGATGTTTCTTTAATTGTACATGAAGTCAGATATCATTGTGAAATAAGATTGTTCATGCCTTGTAGTAGTTCCACCTGAGACCCAAGCTTATGCATTATCTAACCAGACTGACCTCACTGGCAAACCTATTCCTGCTCAGCCTCAGTCCTCCCTTAATACTTGTACCAGAACTGCTTCCATCTCCCTGGATGATTGCCCTGCTTAGCTGATTACTAGGCAGTGCTTCAATACTCCTCCCAGGGGCCAGCAAAGTCCTACACCAATATTGCCAAGATTACCTTCCATAGACATGGCTTCCCATGTGAAGTTTATATTGGGGAGAATCCTGCCCTGTCATATTAACCCCTCCCCTGTCAATGTCAGAAATGTTAGCATTTTGATCACCTGTGGGCTGTGGAGCAACAGTGCCAAGCAGACAGCCCACTGTCTTTTGTGGTCATGCCTGTTCAAATTGCTCTGCACAATCACGTACATGTGCCAATTGTGGTGGCTCCCATGATGTATTTTATGGGAGCTGCCATGCGTAGAATTTCAAGTTAGTGGTAGCAGTTCTCATATTCAAACTAGGCCTCACTCTACATAAACCCAGACAGGAAGGGTTTTTCCCTTGCTACCTATTCCAACACTGTCCTTTATTCCTCTCATCGCCCTTCTTCCCAAGTCTCTATCACATCCCCAGTGCCTACATCCTCCTCCTAACTATACCTGTTGCACCAGGCAATCTAAATGTTCTACTCCCTTTCCCTTTACATTTAAACAAATTGCCAGCATCTATCTGCCTCCTCCTCAATTTCCCCCTACCCCTCATCCTCCCACTCTCCCAACACACCCTATCCTCTATGTCTCCATCTGCACCCCCTCCCCTTCTGCTCCTATCTTGATGCTTTTGTGATTCCTTCTGCCACAACGGCATTCAGGATCCTTGCCCTCCTGATGGTCTTCCTGATACTTCACTTCCATCCCTCGTTCCCTTGCCTTATTCCCCTGAGTTCTTCTCATACTACTTCTTAACACCCATTTCAGTTAGTATTACTTGTTGCTCACTTCATAATGGTTATTTTACAGTGTTCCTCATACAATATCCGTCTTCCTTCCTCTGATGCATAGGTAGCTTCCATTTAGTCAAACTGCCCTTCACCCTTAAGCCTTCCCCCTTTAACTAATCCCTGTATTGCACAATTTTTTCCCCCTTTACTCTTTTCACTACCATACTATCCTATAGCAATCTACAACCTTTAACACATCTTGCTATATGTCCTTAGATGTGTAGCACATTTATTGGTTTTAACCATTAACCATCCACATCTCAGATCATAATCATCTCATTAATCAATTTAATAGTTTTGCTGCCTGTATGTCAATCTAGATTCATGTAATACCATACTAATGTAGAGTGCTTCCAGAATTGTATAGTAAAGAATATGCTTTTGCAGCAGCATGGAAAATTATACATGAGCAGTAAACATGATAGTGTACACCATTAGTATGTAGAGTAATGCTTTTGCTTGTGTGTTATCATCTCTGAAAGAAAGAGGTGGTAATGTAATTGTCTATGTTTTTTTGCAGGATTATACAAAATTTTTAGGCACAGCAACAAAAATCTATGGTTGAGTTACCCATGGTGTGGAAAGCATATGATTAGTAGATCCACCATGGGAAATGAAACTACTTCAAAAAAATTGTTTAAAATTTGATCATAGATTGAGTAACCAGAAGTGCTCCCAAATTCAGATGGTTCCATGAATTTTACCCAGTATGAATGGGTAAAATTCAGTAATGCTTTACCTGTCACGTATACCTCCATACACATATACTCTCCAGAGATGTGCTGAGCTCTACACAGATATATTTATGGTTTGGTTCAGTATCAGAGCACCAAATTGGTTGTCTAACTGGACTTACCCAGATAAGCTTCCACAGAATGGTACTGTCCTATCAGAGGATCATTTTCAAGACAAATAATATATATCATCTACATAACTGTGCACTAGTCAGTATGCCTTATTAATATAAATATGAATATAACATAAATATGACTGTAGACTGATACCCTAACAACAAATATTTATGTAGTTATACCAATAGAAGTTTTATTTCATTTATGTTCACTTCCAAATTATTTCCCCTCTATTAAGTATGATTTAGAGGAAGTAAAAATGGCAAATAACTGCTTTGTCACACAAACACAGACACACACACACACACACACACACACACACACACACACACACACACACACACACACACACACACACACACACACACACACTCTCTCTCTCTCTCTCTCTCTCTCTCTCTCTCTCTCTCTCTCTCTCTCTCTCTCTCTCTCTCTCTCTCTCTCTC